TGTACTATAACTTAAATTTCCCATTGAAATACATAGAATGATTTAACATGATTCAACACCTCCCACACCTGCTGTGCTGATAGTGAAGTGAAAGAATTAAACATTAAACTTTGACATGACTATCACAGATTCATATCATTCTTGATGGCAATCTTTTTTTTTAAGAAAAAGCAATACTGTACGAGTATTATAAGTAATTAAGATGAAACACTTTCAAATATTATTGGTAAAGGTGGAGGAGACAGTTACCACCAGAAGTAACTTATGGATCTGAACCAAAATTCCTGGAGATACTATTTGCATGACACTGAAAACGAAAATGGAAGCAAGAATATACCGAACCTATTAGAACCTGACCAAACCTTATCTAACATCCTAACCTGTGGACACTTTCAGCAGATGCCAGAAAGAAGTTGGAAGCCTTTTAAAAGTGGTGTTATAGGAGAATGCTAAGAAAAGGCTACACTGAGAGACAAACAAATGAAGAAGTACTAAGATTAGCAAGAACTTCAAGAGAAATACTTGAAATGTACAGAAAGAAAAAAATGAGAAACTTGGTCATATAATGAGGGATGAGGGAATAACAACAAATATTAATGGGCAAAGTTGAGGAGAGGAGGGTGAAGGCAGAGACTGGGATGGATGAAATAAATTAATAACTTGGTTCCCAGAGAGATACATAACCTCAGAGGTTTGGTAAAAACAGCCCAAGAACATCTAGAGTGGAGGAGTCCTCCGCTCTAAATAATATTGAAAAATGAATATCTCGGTTATCCTTAATTTCCGGCGGAAATATCATAGAAGAATAAGGTCTTAGAATTGTCTAAGTATTACGAAAAACATATTAATAACAGCGACAGAAAGACCGGTGCATAACTTAAATTTCACCCCCAATTTTCACTGATTATATTAGAGAATATTGTATTATGTTGAGGAAAAATATTAAAATGGGTGAAGTCATAAGGTAACCTGACCTGACCTATATCTTAACTCGCCTATATCTAGAAAACTAAGCATTAGCACAAAGTCAATAGAAGGAGAAGCATAATGAGTGAACAAAACTGTGGTATAACAGCAGTTTGGGTCTCGAGTTGACCAATGTGTTTTACTGAATGTTTGGGACACTTCTTTTGTAAGGTATCCCTCGCAAATTACTGAAATATACCTGAATCATCATAGAAGAAACGTGTCTTAAACTTGTGTGAACACATTGGTCAACTACTAGGGGTCTTGTCCATAACTGCAGTTTACCAAAACTCACTGACGGTCACCAGCTTTATTAACTTAGTTACAAGAATTAAACTAAGCCCATACCTGCACCACACACAGGTAACGTGTTCACCTGTAACAGGTAAAGGTCACAGCTTCACTAATTGGTTTGTTTACTAATATTCTGTTTCTCAGCGGCGCAGTTCCTTTACCTTTATCGCATTTTACCCTCTAACAACCTCATTTAATGGCCTATATATTATGCTATAATTTATTTAACCTTGTCATACTGTCGTATATAAATATATACACACATGGCGTAGCTAGATTATGTGTGCCGCCCGGGGCGGCCCTTGAGTTTGCCCCCTGCCCCCACAAAAAATACATATTGCACAGTGACTCACTCGTCTTGTCACGATGGAGACTTGTGCAGAACTGAAGTGAATTGCTTGTAACTGGTGGATTGGTCGGCTGTACATGAACTGATATGACCCGAGACTGCATGGTTTTGCAGCTACTGGAGACGTTAATCCTTCCGTTTGTATCGGCGGCAAGTTAATCCTCGTCGTGTCTGACCTAACACCTGACCCACACCACATGAGCTCACTGGCGTACTTGTTTGAAGTTGTTTCCTTAATCCTCAACAGGTTACAGGTTGTGTGTGTGGCGGGGGGCCTCATAGCAAGGGTGTAGCTCATGACGTGGCCGTGATGATGTGGGTCAGGTGTTAGGTCAGACACGACAAGGATTAACTTGCCGCCGATACAAAGGGATGGATTAACGTCTCCAGTAGCTGCAGATATGGGTGATGAGCAGACCCAAAAGTGCCGCCCGGGGCGGACCGCCCCCCCCTAGCTACGCTAGTGTATATACAGCTGTGTTAAAAACGTTTATGCATTAAGGAACATCTTTCTTATCTATCCTCGACCTCGGGCTGAACCCAGGAGGTGGTGGGGAGAAGTGCTGTCCACAATGGCCAGAGTCTAGACAAGTATGAATAACTGTACCAGGACTGGGAGGTGGTGGGGAGAAGTGCTGTCCACAATGGCCAGAGTCTAGACAAGTATGAATAACTGTACCAGGACTGGGAGGTGGTGGGGAGAAGTGCTGTCCACAATGGCCAGAGTCTAGACAAGTATGAATAACTGTACCAGGACTGGGAGGTGGTGGGAGAAGTGCTGTCCAATGGCCAGAGTCTAGACAAGTATGAATAACTGTACCAGGACTGGGAGGTGGTGGGGAGAAGTGCTGTCCACAATGGCCAGAGTCTAGACAAGTATGAATAACTGTACCAGGACTGGGAGGTGGTGGGGAGAAGTGGTGTCCACAATGGCCAGAGTCTAGACAAGTATGAATAACTGTACCAGGACTGGGAGGTGGTGGGGAGAAGTGCTGTCCACAATGGCCAGAGTCTAGACAAGTATGAATAACTGTACCAGGACTGCACTCTAGCCAAGTGACAAGTTTGCCAACTCAAATTATGTGAAAATGAATTTGCCAATCTTATACCTTTGAACATTAGAGTTCCCAAACACATCAGTTATAGGGTTTATTATGGCCAATGTATACTGTACATCACGTATGAGGAGTGTAGCTGTCTGTTCACAATTATGTTGCCTCTGGTGCCCCAAATACCCTTCTCATTAGAAAGCTGATCTTAGTCATGTTTTACCATTATCCTCTTCACCACTGATCGGCTCGTTAGCCGCTTGGGCGGTCGCTCACGTCTCTGATACGTACTGTTGGCAAGTACTGGTCATGTACAGGCTCCACATGTACCTGAACCTGCTCCAATGTTGGTCAAGTCTGGTCTTGAAAGAACTTGTGGGGTAACGGGTTATTGGGTTTACACTCAGGATGGGATGGAGAGATGAAACTCACAATGTGCTCTCTGTATACATGTTGTATTGGATGTACAGTGCAGCTTGGTGCTGGGAAGTGGCAGCGTGGTTACAAGCGTGATGTAGAGAGAGCTGGTTGGTGAGGATGCTCAGAGGAGGACCAGCTTGTGGGTCGCCATGCTCGCCGGCGGGAGCGAGGACCGCCAGGCAGGAGGAGGAGGAGGAGGAGGAGTTGCTGGCTGGTTGGTGTAGGTAGAAAAGAGGGTGGTCACCACGAGGTCAGGTCTTATATAGCAGGGGTAGGCGTGGCTTAGTAGTTGACCTCCGTGATGTATGGCGGCGCTGGTTGACCCAGACCACGAGGCATACACTGTGGAATTCGCGGGGTCGGCTACTCAGCGACAAACAGCGTTTGTAGGGGAGAAATCCACTACAAACTCACACTCGGTGCCGTTGTAGCGGACCAGAAGTTACTCCGGACCAGAAGTTACCCCTCACAGTTTTCTGGAGTTAGGGCACTGGACTGAGTAGTGCTGTTGTGGATATTTCCCCTACAACTACAACTGCCGTTTGTCGCTGACCATCCGATCCCTTGTCGAGTTCCCCAGCCAAAGCCTCGTGATCTGACAAAGCGGGGTCGGCTATCAAGCCACGCCTACCTCCGCTATATAAGCTTTCAACCTCGCCATGAACTCCCTTCTTCTACCTACAACACGCAACACCTATTCTGAGCAAGCTCCTCAGCCTCGCCGTGAAGGCCTCTCTCTACTCCACGCTCCCGAACCAACAAGATCTCTCAACAAGCTCCTCAGCCTCGCCGTGAAGGCCTCTCTCTACTCCACGCTCCCGAACCAACAAGATCTCTCAACAATCTCCTCAGCCCTCGCCGTGAAGGCCTCTCTCTACTCCACGCTCCCGAACCAACAAGATCTCTCAACAAGCTCCTCAGCCTCGCCGTGAAGGCCTCTCTCTACTCCACGCTCCCGAACCAACAAGATCTCTCAACAATCTCCTCAGCCAACCAGCTGCCTCAGCAAGCTCCTAACCACGCAGCAACTTCCCAGCACCAAACTGCACTGTACATTCATATATATTTATATACAGAAAACGCATTGTGAGTTTCCTTTCTCCAACCTATCCTGAGTGTGAGACAACCAACAGTGCCATGGGCAGTAGGGCACTGCCTTATTGCCCTTTGAGATGAAATTAACGTGTATGAGAAACGTTACAAAATTAACATGAGACACACTACTAAATGAACGTACACTGACACACACTACTAAATGAACGTACACTGACACACACTACTAAATGAACGTACACTGAGACACACTACTAAATGAACGTACACTGAGACACACTACTAAATGAACGTACACTGACACACACTACTAAATGAACGTACACTGAGACACACTACTAAATGAACGTACACTGAGACACACTACTAAATGAACGTACACTGACACACACTACTAAATGAACGTACACTGAGACACACTACTAAATTAACGTACACTGAGAAACACTACTAAATGAACGTACACTGAGAAACACTACTAAATGAACGTACACTGAGACAGCACTACTAAATGAACGTACACTGACACACACTACTAAATGAACGTACACTGAGACACACTACTAAATGAACGTACACACACTACTAAATGAACGACACTGAGACGTACTACTAAATGAACGTACACTGACACACACTACTAAATGAACGTACACTGAGACACACTACTAAATTAACGTACACTGAGAAACACTACTAAATGAACGTACACTGAGAAACACTACTAAATGAACGTACACTGAGAAGCACTACTAAATGAACGTACACTGAGACGCACTACTAAATGAACGTACACTGAGACACACTACTAAATGAACGTACACTGAGAAACACTACTAAATTCATGAAGGAAAAAAGAGAAACATTACTATCATGATATTTTTATTTACTGATTTAATGAAAATGTTGACCCCACCATAGACTGTGACGCCCAACACATCAAGGCCAGGAGAAGGTAGCAATAACAATAACACAAAAAACCTGTCAATTGCTGCAAAATATTTATCATTGACACTTTTAACTATACCTATTAAAACAAGTTATAATTATACAAACCAATTATACAGGGTTATCATCATTAATAACCAAACACACAAACGTAGAATATACACAAATTTCAATAATACAAGCACAGGTTCCTAAAATAAATAACTAAATGAGATAATATAAAATATACAACAAATAAGGATAAATTTCTTTAAGCACTGTACATACCCTGGCCCCTGTATGAGCAAGGTGAAACAGGGGGGTTAAATGATGATACTTGTTTTTTCTCCATTTTAATCTATTCCCCACAAACCTGTATTAAGCACATCTCATCTCCACTGTTTACGAAGATCCGATTTTTTGGGGTTAGGTGACTAATGTAACAGAGGGAGTAACACCTTATAGAGAATATAATCGCTGTTTTATAGTAGGGTGGTATACAGTACTATTAATGGAAGCAGTATACCTCCTACCATTAACAGAAGCAGTATACCTCCTACCATTAACAGAAGCAGTATACTTTCTACCATTAACAGAAGCAGTATACCTCCTACCATTAACAGAAGCAGTATACTTTCTACCATTAACAGAAGCAGTATACCTCCTACCATTAACAGAAGCAGTATACCTCCTACCATTAACAGAAGCAGTATACCTCCTACCATTAACAGAAGCAGTATACCTCCTACCATTAACAGAAGCAGTATACTTTCTACCATTAACAGAAGCAGTATACCTCCTACCATTAACAGAAGCAGTATACCTCCTACCATTAACAGAAGCAGTATACTTTCTACCATTAACAGAAGCCGTATACTTTCTACCATTAACAGAAGCAGTATACCTCCTACCATTAACAGAAGCAGTATACTTTCTACCATTAACAGAAGCAGTATACTTTCTACCATTAACAGAAGCAGTATACTTTCTACAATTAACAGAAGCAGTATACTTTCTACCATTAACAGATGCAGTATACTTTCTACCATTAACAGATGCAGTATACTTACTACCATTAACAGAAGCGGTATACTTTCTACCATTAACAGAAGCAGTATACTTTCTACCATTAACAGAAGCAGTATACTTTCTACCATTAACAGAAGCAGTATACTTTCTACCATTAACAGATGCAGTATACTTACTACCATTAACAGAAGCAGTATACTTTCTACCATTAACAGAAGCAGTATACCTCCTACCATTAACAGAAGCAGTATACCTCCTACCATTAACAGAAGCAGTATACTTTCTACCATTAACAGAAGCAGTATACTTTCTACCATTAACAGAAGCAGTATACCTCCTACCATTAACAGAAGCAGTATACTTTCTGCCATTAACAGAAGCAGTATACCTCCTACCATTAACAGAAGCAGTATACCTCCTACCATTAACAGAAGCAGTATACCTCCTACCATTAACAGAAGCAGTATACTTTCTACCATTAACAGATGCAACTAGTACAGGTAAATAACTGCAACAATTACCAGTGGAAATTTCGCACATAACACTTGTATTTTTAAAGGGTGGGTGAGGGTTTAACAGCATAGTTCTGTAGTTTTCTTAAGGCAATTGCTTGACCTTCTACAACCATGTGCAAGCAGGCACGAGTGATAACCGAACAACCACAACTAACTGTCTAGTTAGTCGAGTCATTCCGGCTATCTCTCCCAAAGTCGTCAGCCAGTTTACAAACAGATGTAATTATGTCTCGTGATCTATACCAGATTTGCAATGTTTCACAAGATAATTAACTTGGCATGAATTTCTAGAATACTATAACACACTTTCATGTCTACAGCCACATTCTACAACTAACAGTTTTAAAAGTTATAAATAATATACAATACTTCTTTTTTTTTTTAATAATATCACCAGAAGAAAACAGTTTGTGTAAGGTAGATAATTATGAAGTAGGGCAGAATAAAGTAACAAATTCTACATCACCAGAGCAGCGAAGAAAGATACCTTTGTAAATTGTATGGGCGTAGGTTAGTGTTAAGTAAGGTAAGTGATGTTAAGGTTATGTTAGGTTAAGTACGTGTTAGGTTAGGCTAGGCTAGGGTTAGGTTAGGTTAAGTGCGTGTTAGGTTAGGCTAGGTTAGGCTCGGCTAGGGTTAGGTTATCAAAACACCGGAAGGAATTATCATTGAAAATAGATACACTATAACCAATTATATAACTTTCACACACACTATGACTTCCACACACACTATAACCAATTATATAACTTTCACACAGTACTATAACTTCCACACACACTATAACCAATTATATAACTTCCACACACACTATAACCAATTAATTATATAACTTTCACACACACTACAACTTTCACATACAGACTATAACCAATTATATAACTTTCACACACTATAACTTCCACACACACTATAACCAATTATATAACTTTCACACACACTATAACTTCCACACACACAATAACCAATTATATAACTTCCACACACTATAACTTCCACACACACTATAACCAATTATATAACTTTCACACACACTATAACTTCCACACACACTATAACCAATTATATAACTTTCACACACTATAACTTTCACACACACTACAACTTTCACATACAGACTATAACCAATTATATAACTTTCACACAGTACTATAGCCAAGGATTATTTTCTATAACAATTACATAACAAATTATAGCAATTGTAAGATGCTAACTGGATAACTGTACGTAAATTAACTGGATAACTGTACGTGAATTACCTGGATAACTGTACGTGAATTAACTGGATAACTGTACGTGAATTAACTGGATAACTGTACGTGAATTACCTGGATAACTGTACGTGAATTAACTGGATAACTGTACGTGTTTAACTGGATAACTGTACGTGAATTAACTGGATAACTGTACGTGAATTAACTGGATAACTGTACGTGTTTAACTGGATAACTGTACATGAATTAACTGGATAACTGTACGTGAATTAACTGGATAACTGTACGTGAATTAACTGGATAACTGTACGTGAATTAACTGGATAACTGTACGTGAATTAACTGGATAACTGTACGTGAATTAACTGGATAACTGTACGTGTTTAACTGGATAACTGTACGTGAATTAACTGGATAACTGTACGTGAATTACCTGGATAACTGTACGTGGATTAACTGGATAACTGTACGTGAATTAACTGGATAACTGTACGTGAATTAACTGGATAACTATACGTGAATTAACTGGATAACTGTACGTGAATTAACTGGATAACTGTACGTGAATTAACTGGATAACTATACGTGAATTAACTGGATAACTGTACATGAATTAACTGGATAACTGTACGTGAATTACCTGGATAACTGTACGTGAATAAACTGGATAACTAAGTAACGCTTTATACTATCGGATTACTTTATAAAAAAAATTCCCTTTTGCAATAATATTTCAACTTGGGTAAACTGATTATGTTACTTCAGATGGTGAATTTAACCTCAATATAGTGACTCAGGGTTAAATTAACCTCGATAAAGTGACTCAAGGTGAAATTAACTTCGATTAAGTGACTCAGGGTGAAATTAACTTCGATTAAGTGACGCAAGGTAAAATTAACCTCGATTAAGTGACTCGGGGCGAAATTAACCTCGATTAAGTGACTCGGGGCGAAATTAACCTCGATTAAGCGACTCCGGGTGAAATTAACTTCGATTAAGTGACTCAAGGTGAAATTAACCTTGATTTAATGACTCGGGGTGAAATTAACCTCGATTAAGTGACTCGGGGTGAAATTAACCTCGATTAAGTGACTTGGGGTGAAATTAACCTCGATTAAGTGATTCAGGGCGAAATTAACCTCGATTAAGTGACTCAGGGTGAAATTAACCTCGATTAAGTGACTCAGGGTGAAACTAACCTAAAAGTGACTAAGTTAGGAGTGAAAAAACTTTCTCTTACTAACATTTTAATAATGTCAATAAAACTAAGAACCCTCGATTAACCCCCAAAAATAATCACCCTATGTCACTATCTAAACCTCGTGTCAACTCCTTCTACATGACATTTTGAGGATAAATAGCAACAACCGTCAACGTATATCTTTGACTGGATTACAAATTTACTCCAAGATTTTGCCATCATTAAGTAAACCTTTTAATTAATGTGTGGTAATGATGTAAGTGCCGGACGAGATTAAAATAGATCACACGGACTATTCTATGGATAAATATTGTACGGTACACAGAGAGGCGTAGCTGGAGAAAAGTTTATCTCTAAGCAAATTGGTTAGTAGTGTTAGCTAATACTCTATGCGCTATCCTAAACTTGACTACAATACTACAGGGTTGAATATAAGCTTTATTATTATAAGGGTCAGTATCGGGCGCCAGGGTCAGCGTGTATGACTGATGGCTGTCACAAGGTCCCCCACGTCGTGTGTTTGATGTCCGGCCGTCTCGTGGCGCCCGACAGTGACGCCAAACCCCTTACCCGGTTTGGCATAGTGTACAGTAAAAATGTCTCCCACATGTTTAGTTAAGAAGAAAAGACACAAATCTATCACACAACAGATAACATTATTGACCTACACTACAACCTACCACCTAAGGTCTACTTAATATCTCTGGCTGTGTAACCAACGCGGTTTTATGTAGATCTCATCATATCCATTAACGGCATTGATCTATCCTCAAATATATCAACATTCCAATCGACTTATTTCCGTTACCTTGTCGTTGTAGTATTGGTCAATGGATGTAAATATGCTCAACGAATGGGAGAAATTATGGTGAAAGTTATGTAAGGTAATGGGAGAAAGTGTGGTGAAAGTTAAGTAAGGTAATGGGAGAAAGTGTGGTGAAAGTTAAGTAAGGTAATGGTAGAAAGTGGTGAAAGTTATGTAAGGTAATGGTAGAAAGTGTGGTGAAAGTTATGTAGGGTAATGGTAGAAAGTGTGGTGAAAGTTATGTTAGGTAATGAGAGAAAGTGTGGTGAAAGTTATGTAAGGTAATGGTAGAAAGTGTGGTGAAAGTTATGTAAGGTAATGGTAGAAAGTGTGGTGAAAGTCATGTAAGGTAATGGTAGAAAGTGTGGTGAAAGTTATGTAAGGTAATGGTAGAAAGTGTGGCGAAAGTTATGCAAGGTAATGAGAGAAAGTGTGGTGAAAGTTATGTAAGGTAATGGTAGAAAGTGTGGTAAAAGTTATGTAAGGTAATGGTAGAAAGTGTGGTGAAAGTTATGTAAGGTAATGGTAGAAAGTGTGGTAAAAGTTATGTAAGGTAATGGGAGAAAGTGTGGTGAAAAATATGTAAGGTAATGGGAGAAAGTGTGGTGAAAGTTATGTAAGGTAATGGGAGAAAGTGTGGTGAAAGTTATGTAATATAACAGTAGAAAGTGTGGTGAAAGTTATGTAAGGTAATGGGAGAAAGTGTGGTGAAAGTTATGCAAGGTAATGGTAGAAAGTGTGGTGAAAGTTATGTAAGGTAACAGTAGAAAATATGGTGAAAGTTATGTAAGGTAATGAAAGTGTGGTGAAAGTTAGGTAAGGTAATGGGAGAAAGTGTGGTGAAAGTTATGTAAGGTAATGGTAGTAAGTGTGGTGAAAGTTATGTAAGGTAATGGTAGTGTGTGGTGAAAGTTATGTAAGGTAATGGGAGAAAGTGTGGTGAAAGTTATGTACGGTAATGGGAGAAAGTGTGGTGAAAGTTATGTAAGGTAATGGTAGGTGTGGTGAAAGTTATGTAAGGTAATGGGAGAAAGTGTGGTGAAAGTTATGTAAGGTAATGGGAGAAAGTGTGGTGAAAGTTATGTAAGGTAATGGTAGAAAGTGTGGTGAAAGTTATGTAAGGTAATGGTAGAAACTGGTCAAAGTTATGTAAGGAAATGGGAGAAAGTGTGGTGAAAGTTATGTAAGGTTGTGGTAGAAAGTGTGGTGAAAGTATAGCTTTAACCCCTTTAGTATAGCTTTAACCCCATTAGCATAGCTTTAACCCCTTTAGTATAGCTTTAACCCCATTAGCATAGCTTTAACCCCTTTAGTATAGCTTTAACCCATTTAGTATAGCTTTAACCCCATTTGCATAGCTTTAACCCCTTTAGTATAGCTTTAACCCCTTTAGTATAGCTTTAACCCCTTTAGTAAAGCTTTAACCACATTAATATAACTTTAACCCCATTAGCATAGCTTTAATCCCTTTAGTATAGCTTTAACCCCATTAGCATAACTTTAATCCCTTTAGTATAGCTTTAACCCCATTAGCATAGCTTTAACCCCTTAAGTATAGTTTTAACCCCATTAACATAGCTTTAATTCCTTTAGTATAGCTTTAACCCCTTTAGTATAGCTGTAACCCCCATTAGTATAGCTTTAACCCTATTAGTATAGCTTTAGCCCCTTTAGTATAGCTTTAACCCCTTTAGTATAGCTTTAACCCCCCCCGAGTCACTTATTCCCATGTTAAGTTAAGTCACTCGAGTCAACTAATACCCTTAAGCCAAAGTATTTAATCCCCGGGTTAAAAAATAAGACCAAGCGACGATAAATTATGGATTAGGGTAATTCAGACTGATATAATGTAAATAAATCCCAATTAGCGGATTAGGTTTACGTGCCTGGTACTCTGGCCCTTATGAACATTCTTTATATTTAGGGTTATCAATGGTGTGTGTGTGTGTGTGTGTGTGTGTGTGTGTGTGTGTGTGTGTGTGTGTGTGTGTGTGTCTACAGGTATGAAAATCACTTATTCTGTACTATTACCAAACTCAAATGCACACACCAAAAAATATCTTACACACACACACACACACATCCTTCTACCACCTTATATGAGCGTTAAAGTAAAAAATAATATCAATAATACAACGTCATTTTCAAATCAACACATTACAAATCCTCTAATAATCTGCTTAATGTTACTCTCCTTGCTACTGAGTGATGTGTTTGGTACGTGGGTGGTCGATCACGCCTCTGTTACACACTGTTGACAAGTACTGGCCAGGGTCGGATCCAGGAGTGGGCAAAGTGGGCAGCTACCCAGGGGCCTCCACAATCTGGGGGCCTCCACATATTACAATATTTTATTTATTTGTTTATTCATTTGGATTATTTTATTTTCATTCTTTAAAATTCATGTTTATCTATTCCATCACGTAAAATTATGTTCAGCAAGAAGCGTGATAGAAATTAGGCTAGCTACTCCTTGAAATTCAAGAATACCTGGTTATATACAGTTAATTAAAAATTTCTCAATGTTCTAATTTCCTCAATATAACTGCATATGGCTTCAAAATTCTCCAAAGAAGTGTTCAAATTTCAAAATTTTCCCGGGGGTCCTACAGCGTCCCCCGGAACTCCCAGATGTTTAGGCTCGCTTCACTCGCCACCCCACCCTCTTGGGTAGTTATAATGAGGGGGGCCTCCACAAAGAGGCTGCCCATGGGCCTCCACAGGTCTAAATCCGGCACTGGTACTGGCTCTCTGTTACACACTATTGACAAGTACTGGATCTCTGTTACACACTACCTGTATTGACAAGTACTATTTAGAATTGGAATAATTATTTGACTATAAATTATATCAACAGTCTCCAGTAATAATTCCTTGGCTATAAATTATATCAACAGTCTCCAGTAATAATTCCTTGGCTATAAATTATATCAACAGTCTCCAGTAATTATTCCTTGGCTATAAATTATATCAACAGTCTCCAGTAATATTTCCTTGGCTATAAATTATATCAACAGTCTCCAGTAATTATTCCTTGGCTATAAATTATATCAAACGTCTCCAGTAATTATTCCTTGGCTATAAATTATATCAACAGTCTCCAATAATTATTCCTTGGCTATAAATTATATCAACAGTCTCCAGTAATTATTCCTTGGCTATAAATTATATCAACAGTCTCCAGTAATTATTCCTTGGCTATAAATTATATCAACAGTCACCAGTAATATTTCCTTGGCTATAAATTATATCAACAGTCTCCAGTAATAATTCCTTGGCTATAAATTATATCAACAGTCTCCAGTAATTATTCCTTGGCTATAAATTATATCAACAGTCTCTTCCTTGGCTATAAATTATATCAACAGTCTCCAGTGGCTATAAATTATATCAACAGTCTCCAATAATTATTCCTTGGCTATAAATTATATCAACAGTCTCCAGTAATTATTCCTTGGCTATAAATTATATCAACAGTCTCCAGTAATTATTCCTTGGCTATAAATTATATCAACAGTCACCAGTAATATTTCCTTGGCTATAAATTATATCAACAGTCTCCAGTAATAATTCCTTGGCTATAAATTATATCAACAGTCTCCAGTAATTATTCCTTGGCTATAAATTATATCAACAGTCTCTAGTAATAATTCCTTGGCTATAAATTATATCACCACTCCAGTAATAATTCCTTGGCTATAAATTATATCAACAGTCTCTAGTAATTATTCCTTGGCTATAAATTATATCAACAGTCTCCAGTAATTATTCCTTGGCTATAAATTATATCAACAGTCTCTAGTAATAATTCCTTGGCTATAAATTATATCAACAGTCTCCAGTAATTATTCCTTGGCTATAAATCACATCACTGGTCCACAGACTCCCCACAATCGTATAATTTTCTGGGTATAACTCATTCTGTATAATTAAAGGAATTATCACATGTAAAGGTTAACAACGAGGCGATTATCATGTCACGAGAGAATGAAAACAAACATGTAAGGCTTATTGGTAAAATGATAATGACACTCTTATAAAAAATTAATAATACCCATAAATATATTACGCTGGTTTAACTAATGAAGGGTTTTAATGATTGTTATTAAAACCAACTAGGGAAGGGTTTTAATGATTCAATATTATTAAAACCAACTAGGGAGGGTTTTTTAATGATTAAGTGTTATTAAAACCAACTAGGGAAGGGTTTTTTAATGATTAAGTGTTATTAAAACCAACTAGGGAAGGGTTTTAATGATTAAGTGTTATTAAAACCAACTAGGGAAGGGTTTTTTAATGATTCAATATTATTAAAACAAATTATTTCAAAACTGCTCTTCTGTAAACTTGTAGTATCAGGGGAGAATCTACGCAACTGAGATTTTGTTTACATCACGACTGAGATGCTCTGGGAGACATATCTACAGTATAGTGTAACCTCGATATAATGACTTATCTCCCCATGTAATCCATTAGACTTGGGTTTCACATCTAACGTACCCTCGATATAATGGAAAATCCATAATATCGAGGGTTCATTAGATGTGAAACCCCTATTTAATGAACTGTATAGAGATGAAAGTTCATTATATCGAGGTCTCACTGTAAATTTAGACATCTTCACAGGCAGAAACTTTTCCTCCATATATTAATTACGAATAAAAATTATTGAACATGAAAACTCCCAAAAAGTTAAAATTCCTCGTAAAATACAAAATACCCAAATAATTATCAAATAAATACGAATTCCAAGTAAAAAAATAAATAAGAGTTATCCACAATACATAAATTATCAATGTAAATTATTCTTCACATAAAAATGGCTACAGTTAAAGTTATTCTTCACGGATGAAATTACGAAAGTTGTTTATAAATTCGTCCGTGAAATACAGACAGACAGACAGACAGACAGACAGACAGTGTGGGAATCAGGATGCCATAACCCATCAGAAAAAGGTATCTCATCTTAATCAGCGCCCGGGTGAGTGTGTGTGTTGAATGATCAATAGCAAATTTACAAGTTGACACAAATGTTTACAGATGCGAAAACAACAACATATTAAAACGCTTTGTAAACTAAGTTAGCAGAAAGGTCTGTGTAATCTGTGCAGTATATACTAAGTGAGTCAGACCTTTACTTGGTAACTTTAAGCTGAATTTTTCTGTACATTAAAAAAACTGTGTCGCTAAAGTAACACGATTTTGTAAGCTGGTACTAAACGAGCAGGGAAATAAATATAAACGCTTAAACAACAGACCTTCAATAGAGCTTATTTTCCGTAGTGTAAAGGTGGAAAACGAGCCTTATTGAGACACGCAGTTGGGTCCCTTATGCGGTTCACTGGCTCCCACGTCGATAGTATCTCCAACTCAACTCAGTGGGAATGCAACAAACCTTCCTCACACACACACATTAGAAACACAATCTACACAATAAATTAAATGTCATACAGTACATTATTATACAGTGAAACCTCCATCTAACGAACTACATAGAGATGAAAGTCCATTATATCGAGGGTCCGTTGGATATGAAACCTCCATCTAACGAACTACATAGAGATGAAAGTCCATTATATCGAGGGTCCGTTGGATATGAAACCTCCATTTAACGAACTACATAGAGATGAAAGTCCATTATATCGAGGTTCCGTTGGATATGAAACCTCAGTCTAATGGATTATCTGGAGAGAGAAGTCCATTATATCGAGGTTACACTGTACTTGCTGGTCAACAAAGTCTTTTAAATAACGCATAGCTTTATCATTAATTGGTATGTAACTCAACATAGAGTGCTGTTCACCCACGGGTCTTGTAGCTCAGCGGTGTTGAACAATACTAGCGGAGCAATAAATTCACTGATGAATATTCGTTTTTTCCTCATTATTAAAGTCTTTTGCTGTACTTTCAAATATAAGCAATTTTTTTATCAGTATATATAATTACAGGCAAATTATAGGAAGGGGGAAATAACATACCTATAATTACAGGCAAATAACATACCTACATATAAATTATTTTTACCCCTAAAGACACTTTTCCAAATTATAGATAAAAATAACATCCTTACAGTTTATACTTATAATTTATACATTAGCCTAAAGCCATTCCAAATAAGACACCCTCTTCACAACAACAAAAATAATCATGGAGTTTAAATCACTTATATCAAAAGTCAGAAGGAAAATTCACATCTACTCTCGTGTCCTCAATAATAACAAATGCAACTACAGTATCACATAAACAAGACTTGGTTCCCGTACTTGGTGAGTCTAGCCTAGCGTGTGGAACCAGCCGAAAGATGAGTGTAAAGTAACAGAGAAGAAGAAAGGAAATGCTAGAAACAAGACAGCCAATGGTAAGTCACCGCGAAACAAGATCACGTAACTATTATATTTTATCTTCTGCTGAAATGACGGCAAAATTTCTCAAACTTAACCTAACTTAACCTATTTGAAACTACCATAGGTTAGTTAGGTTAGATTATGGTACGGTAGGGATGATTAGGATATGTTAGGTTAGAGTACGTTAAGGTATGTTAGGGTAGGTTAGGGTACGGTAGGTTAGGTTAGATTAGGTTAGGTTTGGGTAATTTAAGCTTGGGTCATTTACTTTCGAAAAAAACCAAATATATATAAATACAGTTTAGTGATCATGTCCGTGGTCCTTAAGCAACATTAACCATATTGCGTGTTAGCCAGTACAGTTTTGCCACATTTGAAAACTTTCCCGTCAGTTTTAACCTTCACAATCATAAGCAATTAAAGCCATCCTAATTATAATTATCATCAATTTACATTATAGGTCTTAATTATCAATATATCAGCCAACAGCTTCAATTAGTTCCAATTTAACATATCATTAACAGGTTAAATCGGTTCCAATTTAACATAACCCCAAGAGCTTAAAATCATTTCCATGTCATTATTATGTCTTGAGCCATGAACTTAGCTCTCAGGAATATAATAATACTTGTCGGTGTATTGTTCCGCCATCTCAAAAAACTACCGTTACTTAGGGCAGGGAGGAGGTGTTACTTAGGGCGGGGAGGAGGTGTTACTTAGGGCGGGGAGGAGGTGTTACTTAGGGCAGGGAGGAGGTGTTACTTAGGGCGGGGAGGAGGTGTTACTTAGCAGGGAGGAGGTGTTACTTAGGGCAGGGAGGAGGTGTTACTTAGGACAGGGAGGAGGTGTTACTTAGGGCGGGGAGGTCGATGAATTCCCCTGAACGGCTGCGACTCTTCTCTCGGCTGGGGCATCTCGGCTGGGTCGTCAGAATCCTTCGTCCGTTGCGTCGTATTTCAACACAATTTCGTAAGGATAGTTTTTTTGAGTGACGGCACAAGAAGAATATTGAAGGCTTAGATTACAAAAGAAATCAAATAAAATATTAATTTAACTCTTTAAATTTGGAATAATTCACTAAATGCAACTAAAATTAAAAAGATATATGCAGAGATGAACTGATTAGAGAGAGAGAGAGAGAGAGAGAGAGAGAGATTTATCCACCAATAACATAGCACAAGGTTACATGACAATACTAATGAATAAATAAATATCACGGTAAAGTTAATACACTAGTCACTTCAAAGGTCAAATAAACATAGACATCACAGAACGCAATTTAAATACAGAGATGAATTACTATATATAAATTATTTGTTTAAATCTTAACAAGGAACGAAAATGGGAGAAAGTAATTGAAGAAAGAAGAAAAGAGAGAAGGTTTAATGTGGGTTAATAGTGATGTGTGTGAATAGTATCATCCTAGAGTTTATTTATTAAAGACATGGACACAGCTCCTTAAAGCTTATAAGTCCGAGATGATTATAACACAAACCTCTGTTAAACACAACCAAGTCACAATAGATAAACATATACCCATTGATTTTGTTTTCTTTTTTATATATACGGCTCGACTCCTGACTCACGGAGAAACCTGATTGGTCAGTTCCCAAATGCGACGGAAGAATTGCTGTCGGCATAATTATAAAAGTTGACATTAACATCTGCACTTTGAAATTAATACAATGCTAACACAAATACATAACACGAAGCTGATTGCTAAAGGTAATTTTTTTTCCACAACTATGCGCCCGGTCAGGAAAAAAACCGCAGTATGTCTATAAATGTCACTTCGGATATAATGCTTTAATACAGAGTGACCTAGGTATTTACATATATATGCCAGTGAGCCTACGAAGGAAGGATTCTTTGTCCTCTGTAGAAATTATTTTGTTGGTGTCGGGCTTCGCTTTCGTCTAATCTGAAAGAGACAGGCGTCGATTAGTCGCTTAGTTCTCAATGGCCACACTAAAAATCTGGTATATAATCATAAATCCATTTGTATTATTAATGGTTTTTTTTAACCTTGAAGGAATATTTTAGATTTGTAATAAAGTGAAATAAAAAAAATTGGGCACTAATCCCTGGAGTGCAACACACGGCCGGAGTACCCAGACTGCGACATACAGCCAGAGTCGTCGTTCAGGTTTCCTCTGTGTCTTCTTCCACCCACACTTCATGCAGTCAGTACCATTTTTGTTACGATGGAGGAAGGTCTTTCATCGTCGATCCTATTCCCTCCTAGCAAGACCCCCGTTACTCATCCTGCATCGGCACGTTACATAACCCGTATGCGCATTTTTCACCACGACTCCCACTTGCTTCAGTCGTGCATGTTATTATTTACTATGTATCTGTAATTTCAGGCTAAATAAACTGTATTTTATAAAGACATTTTGTTTGTGTATGTCTGGGGGAGTCTGGGTGATAAATGAATTTGTTAAGAGGCCGCCCACGGGATATAAAAAACGCAGGAATGTAAATCTTGTCGGAAAATAAAAAATTCCTTCCTTATTCTTCACTCCACTTAAAAAAAAGCACAAATAAGAATCGTTTTTAATCCATGTGTGTTTGAGATGTTGATGGTGTAGGCAGAGTGAAGAGGAGTGATATTTTCTCCATAATATAAAGGCCATTCATCATCATGTGCTCCTTGATCATGTTCCCTCTCACACAACATTCACTTAATGCTGGAAAAGATGTGTTCTATCATAACATTCCCTCTCAAACAACATTCAACATTCACTTAATCTTTTAGTATCGTATCAGTGAAAACAAGTTTGGAATTCCATTACTGGGAGGCTGATATAGTAAGGAGATACCCCACCCTCTAGAATCCTGACCATGAGAAACATCCACCAATACAAACCCATATCAGTCATCTCTCTAATTTATGAACCAGGGGACTCATGAACCAGGGGACTCATGAACCAGGGGACTCATGAACCCGGGGACTCATGAACCCGAGGACTCATGAACCAGGGGACTCATGAACCAGGGGACTCATGAACCAGTGAATCCGAGACATCACCCGGTGCACCACCTATGGGGTTAATACCGTGTTATGTCTCGGAGTCACAGGTTGATGAGTCCCTGGGTTCAGAGATGGGAAGAAGAGTCCTGACAGAATTTTTCTTTAAGATGTTTATATAATTCTTCAAAATTCTCAAAACTAAACAATATTCGTTTCTCTTGGTTATCTCGTTACTTTTCCAGCCATTAGTGGTAACCGGGGTTTTTGTTTTTGTAATTTACTCTCCTCACCATGTGTCTGTTTTCTAACCTGTCGTGTGGTGAGCCTGTGTACGTTCGGGATGGTTCGGGATGGTTCGCACCCATCTCACATCTGACTTGGAGTGTTTGAACCTAGGACTTAGTGATGAGAGGTAACCGCACTAACTTCCAGATGAAGAATAATGAAAGAAATTCTACCTAAGCCTTCAACAAACTTTAAGAAAGAATCAAGACTAGGAAAAAATATCCCAAATCCTTATATTGTTAAAAATAATAATCAACCAATCATCTAATCGAACTACTGTATATAGTAACCTTATTGGTGTAGAGGGTAACGATGGTTAGCCGGGATCATTGTGGGAGTAAAGACGTAAACAAACCTCCATAACTGTACTGCATGATTCGCGGATTAATCGTAAAAGGGGTTTAAGTTACCTGAAGCCATTAGTGGTGGATTTGAGAACTAAACAAACGACACGGTGGAATAGGGTCAATTTTAATGACTTAATTTACTGGCGACAGTTCTTTTTAAACCACATCTTAGAAGTGGTTCCTACAGAAATTGGTGGAATCCTTGCTTGGTAGGTCAGGCTTTCTACTGCAATGGTTTGGACCACTGGCTGAGAGAGAGAGAGAGAGAGCTCACAACCACAAGGTGCAACTGTTATTGTGCAGCCATTTTACACTCTATCCAAGGCTGCAGGTTTGGCTATGTTGTCACACCTTCAAACAAACAAAAGAAGAAAAAAAAAAAAACCTTGGGATTTTACAAGTAACTACAACTTCTCACTGCACATTCTTACACTGTTCTCTGTACATTTTTTACTTATTTACAAACAGTACGACACTGACTACCTCTCGACAGTAAGGTATAACATTATTAACATTATATCCCTAAGAGAAGATCATCATACCAGTCATAACAACTCGGCTATCTTCACCTAACACGGTACGGCCTCGGTTGACCTCGGTTGACCTCTGATACACCAATCAACAACTGTGAGATAACAAGGGGGAGGGTTGTTCAGGATCCTCACACAAAGACCAATCTTGAGATAACTACCGCAGTGGAGAAATACCGTCAGCGATCTACGTGGCATTTCTCGACGAGTGGATCCTACGAGAGAGCAATTCGCCTCGCCGATTACAGAGGCCGTTTTGCCACGCCTCCCCTCATAGCGTTACCGGCGAGTGAACCCTCGTATCACAGAGCTGGCAAGTGTCAGATTAAGGAAATATTTATATCTGGTTTCTCTTATCACCAATATCATACTGCGAGTCAATTCAAAGCTGGTACCATTTTTTATCCTTGTACTTGAGCATAAGCTGATGTGCCACCGAAGAGAACGCCTCCGCCTCGTTCATCATCTTCTCCGTTTTCTCGTCCAACTGGCCCAACTTCTCTCCTCGTTCGACCATCAACATGCGAGTTCTGGAGATGTCGCCGGCTATGGTTCCGGCCCGAGCGTTCAGACCCTCAAGCTGGGAGGTAGGGCCGGGCAAGTGCTTGGCTACGCTGCGAGAGCCCTTACCGGACGCTTCGCCAACTGTAGACACATGATCGTTGGTTAGGTTAGGTTAGGAACACGCATTGATTATAATCTATAAACCTTTTCATCAGCAACATATATTTCACATTACCTTAAGATTAGTCCCCAGCTTATTACACCTTATAATTAACCAACCTAATACTGTACTAACCTAACCTAACCCAACCTACCCTAACCTAATAATAACCTAACCTAACCTAACCTAACCCAACCCAACCCAACCCAACCCAACCCAACCCAACCTAACCCTAACCTAACCTAACCCAACCTAACCTTTCCTAACCTAACCTAACCCAACCTACCCTAACCTAATAACCTAACCTTATAATAACCTAACCTAACCTAACCTAACAGCTCTAATGCTAACCTAACTTTACATTATCTAACCAAAATTACCCTAATCTAAATTAACATAATGTAAGTTAAATTAACCTAACCCAATCTAAATCAGTCTATCTAACCTAATCCAACCTAACCTAACACCCAAGTATCATTAGAGTAATTAATCACAGTGAAAAACAAAAGCTTAAGGGTGACTAATCTTCAGGTCACCCCTAAATTTATATTAATTATGGCAAAAAAAAATTATGAAAAAAAAATTTATGGCAAAAAAAAAAATGTGGCAAAAAAAAAAAAAAAAATTATGGCAAAAAAAAAATATTACAATATATTCAACAATACATTACTATCTGAGACACATATATTAGGGGTCAAAAGTTTGCTCCGTCCCAAAATGAACCAGCATTGACCCCCAAACAAGACACAACACCACATCTGCACTACATTATTTCCCCGCTAAGCTGGCCCATAACGCCCCGTCCATCGTCTATAGCTACAAACAGCTCATTGGTTCCCATCAGTGTTATATCCCCCCCCCCCCAGGACTGTACGTATATAAGCGTGAATTTACATCAAGTTTTTATGATAAATATTTAAAATTTTCTACCATCCTCTATGAATTGCCTTAAAATCATTTGCATTTTGATAGTCCAGATATATAACATTATTTTAGATAATAACAGTCTGCTTCCCTATTGTGAACATAACTTGAATTTTCTATGAACCAATCAGCTATTAGAATAGAAGAGGGGTGGGGCTTAGGGGTCAGGTTAGCTTGGAAAAAGGTATAGATATCCGCTAGGGTAGACAAGATCAGAGAGCCTGTGAATCACCTTTCACCGCGGGAGCTAACTTTTGGCCTCAACTATAGCAAGGTTTTAAAACAGCACAGTACGTTATATTGAATTAGTCGTTAGAGAACAGAGTTTAATATTTATTTGGCATTAGTTATATAAAAAGATGGAGTTTTAGTGAGATGAGATAGTTGGTCTATCTGGGGATGTCATAGAACCTGACACTATGTCATGTTTAAGACCCCTTTGTCATAGAACCTGTCACTGTCAAGACCCCTTTGTCATAGAACCTCTCACTGTCAAGACCCCTTTGTCATAGAACCTCTCACTGCCAAGACCCCTTTGTCATAGAACCTGTCACTGTCAAGACCCCTTTGTCATAGAACCTGTCACTGTCAAGACCCCTTTGTCATAGAACCTCTCACTGTCAAGACCCCTTTGTCATAGAGCCTCTCACTGTCAAGACCCCTTTGTCATAGTGCCTCTCACTGTCAAGACCCCTTTGTCATAGAACCTCTCACTGTCAAGACCCCTTTGTCATAGAACCTCTCACTGTCAAGACCCCTTTGTCATAGAACCTCTCACTGTCAAGACCCCTTTGTCATAGAACCTCTCACTGTCAAGACCCCTTTGTCATAGAGCCTCTCACTGTCAAGACCCCTTTGTCATAGAACCTCTCACTGTCAAGACCTCTTGTCATAGAACCTCTCACTGTCAAGACCCCTTGTCATAGAACCTCTCACTGCCAAGACCCCTTTGTCATAGAACCTGTCACTGTCAAGACCCTTGTCATAGAACCTCTCACTGTCAACCCTTTGTCATAAACCTCTCACTGCCAAGACCCCTTTGTCATAGAACCTGTCACTGTCAAGACCCCTTTGTCATAGAACCTCTCACTGTCAAGACCCCTTGTCATAGAACCTCTCACTGTCAAGACCCTTTGTCATAGAACCTCTCACTGTCAAGACTCCTTGTCATAGAACCTGTCACTGTCAAGACTCCTTTTCATAGAACCTCTCACTGTCAAGACCCCTTGTCATAGAACCTCTCACTGTCAAGACCCTTGTCATAAAACCTCTCACTGTCAAGACCCCTTGCCACAGAACCTCTCACTGTCAAGACCCCTTTGTCATAGAACCTCTCACTGTCAAGACCCCTTGTCATAGAACCTCTCACTGTCAAGACCCCTGTCATAGAACCTCTCACTGTCAAGACCCCTTGTCATAGAACCTCTCACTGTCAAGACCCCTTTGTCATAGAACCTCTCACTGCCAAGACCCCTTTGTCATAGAACCTGTCACTGTCAAGACCCTTTGTCATAGAACCTCTCACTGTCAAGACCCCTTGTCATAGAACCTCACTGTCAAGACCCCTTGTCATAGAACCTCTACTGTCAAGACCCCTTTGTCATAGAACCTCTCACTGTCAAGACCCCTTTGTCATAGAACCTGTCACTGTCAAGACCCTTTGTCATAGAACCTCTCACTGTCAAGACCCCTTTGTCATAGAACCTCTCACTGTCAAGACCCCTTTGTCATAGAACCTGTCACTGTCAAGACCCTTGTCATAGAACCTCTCACTGTCAAGACCCCTTTGTCATAGAACCCTCTCACTGTCAAGACCCCTTTGTCATAGAACCTCACTGTCAAGACCCCTTGTCATAGAACCTCTCACTGTCAAGACCCTTTGTCATAGAACCTCTCCACTGTCAAGACCCCTTTGTCATAGAACCTCTCACTGTCAAGACCCCTTTGTCATAGAACCTCTCACTGTCAAGACCCCTTTGTCATAGAACCTCACTGTCAAGACCCCTTTGTCATAGAACCTCTCACTGTCAAGACCCCTTTGTCATAGAACCTCTCACTGTCAAGACCCCTTTGTCATAGAACCTCTCACTGTCAAGACCCCTTTGTCATAGAACCTCTCACTGTCAAGACCCCTTTGTCATAGAACCTGGGGATTATCGAAGACATTATGACTCAGAATAACTTACAGAGTTCCTCGCGATCTAGTTGAGAGATTCCACCACCAAACAGCCCCTTGAAGAAGCTTTGTTTTGGTGGTTCAGGCATGTCGCAGGGGAGGAACAGCTCCCCTAACAGGTCCTGGAGCATCTTGCTGTAAGGTGTAGAGGACGTTTTACTGTGAGGTAGAATTGTGTATAGAAATTTCTACGGCTTCTTCTCACTTAACTTAACCTAATTAAATCCAGCCTTAATTTAACCTAACCTAATTTAACTTAACCTTAAATTAACTTAACCTAACCTACAAAAGCCTAGTTACAGTCCCCTTCACTAGTGTATTTACAGGGGCTGGTCATATAGCCTAGGTACAGTCCCCTTCACTAGTTTGTTTACAGGGGCTGGTCATATACTCAGGTACAGTCCCTCACTAGTGTGTTTACAGGGGCTGGTCATATAGCCTAGGTACAGTCCCCTTCACTAGTGTGGTTACAGGGGCTGGTCATATAGCCTAGGTATAATCCCCTTCACTAGTGTGTTTACAGGGGCTGGTCATATAGCCTAGTACAGTCCCTTCACTAGTGTGTGCTTACAGGGGCTGGTCATATAGCCTAGGTACAGTCCCCTTCACTAGTGTGTTTACAGGCTGGTCATATAGCCTAGGTACAGTCCCCTTCACTAGTGTGTTTACAGGGGCTGGTCATATAGCCTAGGTACAGTCCCTTTCACTAGTGTGTTTACTGGGCTGGTCATATAGCCTAGGTACAGTCCCCTTCACTAGTGCATTTACAGGGGCTGGTCATATAGCCTAGGTACAGTCCCTTCACTAGTGTATTTACAGGGGCTGGTCATATAGCCTAGGTACAGTCCCCTCACTAGTGCATTTACAGGGCTGGTCATATAGCTTAGGTACAGTCCCCTTCACTAGTGTGTTTACAGGGCTGGTCATATAGCCTAGGTACAGTCCCCTTCACTAGTGTTTACAGGGCTGGTCATATAGCCTAGGTACAGTTCCCTTCACTAGTGCATTTACAGGGGCTGGTCATATAGCCTAGGTACAGTCCCCTTCACTAGTGTGTTTACAGGGGCTGGTCATATAGCCTAGGTACAGTCCCCTTCACTAGTGTATTTACAGGGCTGGTCATATAGCCTAGGTACAGTCCCCTTCACTAGTGCATTTACAGGGGCTGGTCATATAGCCTAGGTACAGTCCCCTTCACTAGTGTATTTACAGGGGCTGGTCATATAGCCTAGGTACAGTCCCCTTCACTAGTGCATTTACAGGGGCTGTCATATAGCCTAGTACAGTCCCTTCACTAGTGTATTTACAGGGGCTGGTCATATAGCCTAGGTACAGTCCCCTTCACTAGTGTGTTTACAGGGGCTGGTCATATAGCCTAGGTACAGTCCCCTTCACTAGTGTGTTTACAGGGGCTGGTCATATAGCCTAGGTACAGTCCCTTCACTAGTGCATTTACAGGCTGGTCATATAGCCTAGGTACAGTCCCCTTCACTAGTGTATTTACAGGGGCTGGTCATATAGCCTAGGTACAGTCCCCTTCACTAGTGCATTTACAGGGGGCTGGTCATATAGCCTAGGTACAGTCCCCTTCACTAGTGCATTTACAGGGGCTCATCATATAAATATTCCGCAAATCATTACATTAAGATATTTGTTTTAATATTGTTTTACACAACAACGGCACACATTATAACACTTACCAGAAACCAAGCCAATGTAAACTTCTGTATTTCAGTGGGGGAACATAGGTACATTCCATGGCCATAATTCGTGAAGCAAAAAGTCCTCGCGATTCTGATTGGGGTAAAGACACGAGGTATACTGTTATTATATGTATGCTGCGTACTTAACACCTCAATACATTAAACTAGAACAATTATTATATATTGACGTTTTAGCATTATAAAATGTAGTGAAATTTCAAGTTTGCAAAGTAATTATATGAGAATTATACTTATTAATTACTAGTATTAATTATTTATATAACATGTGGCTGAACTATTTCCCTATAATTTAAGGAGTATTATATTACTGAAGGAAAAACTAATATGTGACCTTGTTACGATGTTCAGTTGTTTTTACTTACTTGGCCTAAGACATTGTTGACATATATACTAACCGAGCTTCATATGCGAGACCCCCATTATATATTTCTTCTAAAATCGAGAATAATACCGCCATTGAGGTTGTATTAAATCAGGTATGTTGGCTAGATGATTCACACTCGTTAAGGAAGAACTTGACCTTATTTCATATCAATCAAACTATCGCCGCGGTGTTTAGTGATAGCGTCAACCTACAACACTCCCGATTTTATTAATAGCATCAATGTATCAAACTCTCACTCTGATTATAGCATCGTCACTATAATTATACCAAATTATAGCATTGATACCCCAGTGTGGTATAACAGAACTAGATTATGTACTTATTAATATAGCCTGGTATATTTCCTGAACAAAAATATATCAATTATTATCGTTTTAATTATATTAGGATATATATATAATCACTCAGCAATTTTAATTTCTTGTAATTTTATATATTTTACGATTTTTATATTATTTTTAATATAATTTTCAACTATAATTTTAGAATTTGATTTTGTTTTTAATGTATTTTACTTTTGGCAATTTCCTATAATTTCCAGTCTTTTAAAAATAGATTAAATGTAATAAAAAAATGAAGTCTATATAACTATCAAAATATATCTCGTTCTGTACTTTTTTTATTTACAGAGAAACTTCCAAAAAAAGGCCCCATAGGTCAGCCATTACACCACAAGACCCATCCATTAACAGAAGTTCATTGTCAAATCTTTCATTAGTTCTCAAAAGCCAACTAGCTATACAAATTTCTGAAATGAATGATAATTATTTTTCTAACTATTATCTAAAGTGATTTTTTATATTAATTGGTTTATAAAGAGAAGGAAAGAGAAATTGGTTCCTTTATGTCAATGTCGAGAGTCTCAGAAAAATGTCCTTCCTTGCTCCTTTCCTCCCTGCCTGCGTGTCTGCTTTCATACCTCCAATTCACAGTGTCTCAGGGAGCAGACAGGCAGGCAGGGAGGGCAGAATCAAGGGCATTTTTCTAAGACAATATATATACCATTTTCATAATGTGTAAAGAATAAATTGCTAATATATGCAGAGTAAAAAAATATATATATAAATTCAATAATTATAATAACATGGGTGCATATCTATGTCTGTACTACTGCATGGAAAAGTTGCAATTGAGTGCAAAAGAGAACAAAATCCAGTGCAACATGTGCAATTTGATATATATATAAAAAATGCAGAAAAGGAGAAAGAATCATTATATCATTGCAGTAAAGTATTAAAATCTTGCAATAGTCTCGGTGTTGCAAGTTGCATCGTGGGTAATTGTACATCTCACACTTTATGTATGATGATAGTGTATATTATTAGTCCCCATATGTTGAAAAATTCCATTACAACTTCCTGGTTTAATTCTCAATATACATACATCAATACAAACTGGTTTTCTAAAATGAGTCTTTCTTAATTATTAAAGTCAAAGGCCAGTTCCGAATTATTTTTCTGAATGCCGAGTTATTTTTCCGAGAACTCAATTTGTGGTGGACCCGAGTGGAATCAACGATCTCGTGGCATTGTTGGCTGTTCTTGGTCGAATTGCCTTATTGTTTACTATTATTGTTTACCTCTAGTATCTAGGTACATTGTTTGTACGATTTATGCCAATTTTGTCTACTTTCCTGATGCTTCTACTTGTCACCTCACCTATATAAATGTTACTTCTGCCATAAAAAATCTTACATCTTCTCCCATATACATCAACCAACATCATATATATATATATATATATATATATATATATATATATATATATATATATATATATATATATATATATATATATATATATATATATATATATATATATATATATATATAATATATATATATATATATATATATATATATATATATATATATATATATATATATATATATATATATATATATATATATACATAGAACTATTTAAATCTCACTATATACATTTTCAGGAGAGCTACAGTGTGGTAGTCATACCTAAAGTCTAACTAAATTCAAAATCAATTATTAAAGGTATTATATGAATCCATTTATATACGATGTGTTTTTATTTCAATTCTATGTCATTTCTCACAATTTTCATTTGTATTTTTAATTTTAGTCTGTGATTCAATGTTTTAATCTGTTTTTATTATTATTTTTTGAGTTTATTAGTTCGTGTGTGTGTGTGTGTATGACTACCATTAAACTTACATAAGCCACATGTTACGAATGTTTACTTACCATTAAAAATTTCCTAAAAATCTATATAACTAAATTCTATCATCTATATTCTAACTTAATCTCTATATCAAAATCAAATACTAACTAAATATTGAATATATACTGTAAAAGTCCATATAACTCAATATATATCATCAGGTGTCTATATGTATCTAATAAGTATATATGTTTGAGTAAGTTTCATGATCGTGCGTCAATGACCATTTCTACGCTTATTGAATCAAAGAAAACGTCAACATAGAAAATGTCAACTCACTAGCGCCCTCCGATAACATCTTACTCGTAACGTTGAAATTTGCATCACCTGAAGAATCTCCACCCTAGTTTATTTCAACTGAAGATTAACCACCCTAATGCTGTTTGGGGGGATGCGGTTAGGTTAGCATTGGGTTGGGTTGGGTTGGGTTAGCATTAGGGCGATTCATCAGAAGATAAAATAAGCCGAGTGAAGAATCACACGTGATTCAATATTATCACACACAGGTGAGTCATGGTATAAGACCCGTGAACACCTCGTATCTATCTGCAAGCAAGATGGATAAATCATCACACAATACAGCAAATAATCACAGAGACACACATTTGCTGGGATGAGAATTGTCGTCATCATGAGCAGACAATATTGTGAGAAAACACCGTGCGGAGCTTACAAGACAAGTAGCATCACACCTTCTCAGCAGTATATAGGTAGTAAGTCATTTCAATGTACTCAAACCTTGATAATAAAATATACTGATATATTTCTCACTTTACAGGAGAAGTTTTTGGTCCCATAGTCCCGTAAAATCGCCTTAACTCAATGAATGTTAATTAATTGCATATTTACATAATCCAATGCTTATATAATTTTGTAAAACTATTCCTAATTAGAAGACTTAGGAGTTCATTTTATTAGTCAAGATTTGAGAGAAATGATTTACTCTTAAGCTGACCCAGGGATAGGGGCCATTCACCCTGTCTGGTAACATTAGGTGATGACACTTGACGCATACATCTATTAGCCCGAGTCTCCAGTGCACGCGGTAAGCCTTGCACGGACACTGGGACACATCCACCGTTAGTCTTGCCTGTGTGGAGTGTCTAAATACTGATACATACAGCCTTCTCCTCTACCAACCATATCCATAACGTATTTAAGTGCCCCAGGCGTATAAACTGATCAGATCGTGTGTACTGCATATGTCTTACACGCATCCGTACACGTGATGTCTCATTGAGAAATTATATCCACACACACACACACACACAGACACACACACACACACTCGAGCAATATATCATTAGTAGTGAGGATGTTTGACGATGCAAAATTTAAACTACAAATAACAAAAAACCTTTAGAAAAATCGATAAAAATATAAAGTACGGTGATATCCCCGTTAGCCGGAACAATTGGTGCAGACCACGTCCGGGAATGAGAGATTCCCGGGTAACGAAACGACTCTCTCAAAGCCGGAAAATCCTCATCCCCGAATTTTTCGGCATCGAAAAATTTTCTCGAATTTTCCGAAAATACCAAAATCGTTCAAAACCGAATATTCATGAAAATTCGCTTTGGGAACGATTTTCCAAAAAAATTCAATTCGCATCGGAGAGTTCGAAGTCTGATCGATCCGGCTTATGGAGTTATTACCTGTTAACATAATCTCGGCCATTCCAAAAGTCATAAAAAATAGAAACAAATTATACCTCAAGAATCTTTTCAAAATCATGCAGAAAAATTTGATGGTACATGAAAAATCCCCCAAAATATTGACTACATAAGCATTGAGTAATCTTCACTACTAGTAATAGTTATAAAAAACATACTGACTGAAATTGATAAAAACTTGAATTGTTATTAAGCGATTATAAGGAAAAGCTGCCAAAGGTGAGACGAAATAATAATTAATACAAAAGATCCTATACAATATATATCTAATTATTATAAGATTTAATTAATTATTCTAACTGTATGGTGGACATTATTTGAGGCAGTTTTATTAATCCCTCATCTTGGATTCAACACAAAAAAATGAATTCTCTCATTTTTTATCACTTTAATATAAAAATAAATCCAATTAAACAAACTACCAATTTGACTTTAATAAAAATATAACTCGACTAATTGAAAAAATAATGAATATAAATTTCTCATTGGATAAAATTCTTTACTTGACTCGTTTTATTCCTCAAAAGACTCAGTAAATACAGGAGAATTTGCCGGGTGTTAAGCCTCGCGTTTTAGCATCGTATGATATGGTCGGTAGAGGGACCGTTACCTGTCCTGGGTGGCTGGTGGTGATTATCTTCTAACAATTTACTACCATAACTAACTATCAGATGGTTTCCTCTCTCAGCCATAGGGAGTTCTGCAGTGATGAATTTCTCTACTTTAACTAAAAAAAAAAAGAAGTAATGCAGTCATAATGAAACCTCTATATAATGGACTTTCACCTCTATATAGTTCATTAGATGGAGGTTTCGA